TTTTGAACAAAATATATTTATAATTTTGAATAGGAATTCCAGAGTATTGGTAACTGTAACCACTTTGGGTTCCCCACTGCTGCTTCTGGTGCCTCATTTTTTCTGATGTCTTTCATTTTCTCACATTTGTCTTCTAAAGGTAGAGTTAAGATTATTCAGTTTCAAGAAGTACTGATTTAGGCCTCTGTTCTCTTCTGTTTTTTGTTTTTGTTTTTGTTTTTGTTTAATGAATGGGTATAATATCCCAATACATTTTGATAATTGATCAACAGCTACATTTTTAGGTGAGGCTGCTTTCTTCTTTTTTTTTTTTAATTTCTTTCTCTTAATTTTTAAAAAAATGTCAGAGATTGACTAAGAGATGGGGCAGCTTTCTTATGTGAGAATAGTAGATTACAGCAAATATTTGTGATGTTAAAATGATAATCCTAATAGTTTTCTTTTAGAGTCTTTATAATGAAAACACCTTGAGGCTGAAGATGAATTTATGTGTTCCTAAAGAGACAAAAAATGTTTTTGGGACATGTAAATGTTATTTAAGTCTTAGATGCTTTTATTAGTATAATTTTTGGGCAGAAATTTGCATTTAAAAATGCATACAAAGCTTCTTCCAAGTCATATATGACAAGACAGCATTTTGCCATGGTAATTGATAAATAGACTCAGGTAATTATAAAACATCTAATTTAAGAAAATTTGTCATGGAAACTACAGGTACATTGTGGCAAAAATAGAAAATACAAAACAAGCAAATATGAGAAAAAACATAAATGTCACCATCTACATACTACTTTTGGTACTTTATAATCTTTTGTCTATATATGTCTGTATTTATATATATATGTATATTTTATCTAAATAGTATTGTACATTGTTTTGAAACCTGCCTTTTTTAGTCATTTACATCTAGTTTTCCATTTCAGTAAGTTTTCACCTTATATAATGCCCAAATTGCGTTAAAATTTTTTTCCAGTTAGCTCAAAAATGTCCTTTATGTCTGCTTTGGCTGAAACAGTATCCAGGCCAGCATTGCGCCTATGAAATTGGCTGTTAGGAACCTTATATCTTTAAAAATCAAGGGTGGCAACCCATCTTCCCACTTCCCCCCATACTCCCATCTTTTTTTTTTTCTTAAAGATACTGGCTTGTTGAAGAAAGACTGGGTTATGTCCTACAGACTTTCTGAGTTTGTCCAGTTTACTGTCTCATAATGTCATTTAGATTGTTCCATCTTATTTCTTTCCCACAAATTAAAATTTATATCTGAATCCTTGGTGGATTTGAGTTGAAGATCTTTAACTGTCATAGATGATGCTGTGTCCTTTATATTGTATATCAGAAGTTACATGATCTTTACTTGACTTATGATGAAGAGATTGGCCACTGAAATTGGACATCGACAGTCCTTTCTCCCCATTGTTCAATTATATTTATCTCTTTGCAGTTAGAAAGTATTTTGGGTAGTAGTATTTTGGCTCTGTAAGAAAGTTCATTTTCTCGTCAACCACTCACCTGTTGACTTAACACCATTTGTTGATAGAGTATATCAGTAATTTCATTAGGGTTTGCAGAATAAGATTTTAAATTCTGTTCTTTTACATTTATTAATTGATGTTTTTTGGTAAGAGAGAACTTATGAAATGGGACGACTTGGTTGTCCTTAAATACAGTCTCCATAGGAAAGACAAAATAAATACTTAAATCTTCTCTTTACCATTTTTAAATGTGAAAAAGTATTCCATTAACCACCTCAAAGGTGATAAATAAAAAGGGCATTTTTCGTTGTTTTAACTCTTTATTTATTTATTTATTTATTTTTTGAGATGGGGTCTCATTCTGTTGCCCAGGCTGGAGTGTAGTGGTGCAGTGGTGGTACACTACAGCCTCAATCTCCCTGGGTTCAGGTGATTCTTCCACCTCAGCCTGGGACTACAGGTGTACATCACTATGCCCAGCCAGTGTTTTAGTACTTTTTGTAGAGATGGGATTGCCATATTTTCCAGCCTGGTCTCCTGGGCTGAAGAAATTCACCCACCTCAGCCTTCCAAAGTGCTAGCATTACAGACATGACCCACAATGCCTGGCCTTAACTTTTTTCTTTTTGAGTGTCTTTACAGACTCAGGGATTTTTGTTTAATTCAGGATGTTTTAATATACTACCATTTATGTTTTCTTTGATGCTAAGATTATCACAGCTGGTCATTTGGACCTTTATGCCAGCTCCTTTGGCCATTTGATATAGGCCATTAATCTCCATAAACCTTCCTTGTTCCTCTTGGCATGAAAAGATAGCCCAGGCTCACCTGTACCTTCCCTACTCCAAACCTGACATTAACTCTTTTTTCCAAGAAGTTTGATTCCTTTTAGTTTATTATGATATTAAAGACGAAAATCTGCATTCTTGGAATGTTTATTACTGCTAGGGTGATGTTGCTTATAAGCTATTTCAGAGAAAAGGCCTAGAAAACAGATTTTTACAAACATGAATTCATACTAATATTTTTAGTTTTTACATGATTTCTTGATTTTACATTATCTCTGTTTTCCTACACTTATAATTATGAACCTTAAAATCATTAGCATAACTTCATTGCTTAGTTCTACAATATAAAGAAAGTAGTCCTGGTGTGATGACTTATGCCTGTAATCCCAGCACTTTGGAAGTTTGAGGCAGGTGGATTGCTTGAGCTCAGGAGTTCAAGACCAACCTGGGAAACATGATGAAACCTTGTCTTTACAAAAATTTAGCTGTGTGTGGTGGCATGTCCCTAAAGTCCCAGCTACTCAGGAGGTTGAGGTGATAGGATCACCTGAGCCCACGAAGTCAAGGCTCTAGTGAGCCATGATTATGCCATCACACTTCAGCCTAAGTAGCAAAGTGAGACCCTGTCTCAGGAAAAAAAAAAAAAAAAAGAAAGAAAAGAAAGAAAAGAAAAATAGTTTGAAGAGGCTGGGTGTATGACTCATGCATGTAATCCCAACACTTTGGGAGGCTGAGGTGGAGGATCACTTCAGCCCAGGAGTTTGAGACCAGCCCGTGCCACATCATGAGACCCGATCTGTCTTTAAAAGAAGAGAAAAGGAAGTGGTAGAATACTTGGTAGAATACTTCTTACCAAGAAGTGCAGTGTCCAAATAGCCTTTGTAACAAAACCTTTCTCATTCTCCTGGGTGTCAATTTGACCTTTAATCAGTTTTGTTTCTAACACTGTTCAATTTATGAGATTAAAAGTCTTTTTTTTCTTTATATGATTCTAAGATCAAAAATACATGAAGATTTACACAGGAGTCCTACCACCTGTTCTTGCTATGCTTTTCCCCGTTTCTTCCCTTTCTCTGTGAAGCAACTGTTACTAGTTTCTCATTTATCACTCATTCGTGTGTATGTGTATTGTGGATGTTGACATTCAAGCAAATATATGTGTTAACGTTCTTTTTCTCATCCCTGTGCAAAAGATGTACCCTGTATACTCTATTGGACAGGTTTTTTTCCTTAAAATACTCTGTAGATCTTTCCTCTCGGCACATAGTTATCTTATAGATAGACCATATAGTATACACACAACCTTTTCTTAAACTATAATGTCAAAATAATAGCTTTCAGGAAGTTAATAATTATTTTCCGATTGAAAATATTACTGAAATAAACTCAATAATATGAAAGTTGCAGAAAGAAAAAGACATAGAAAAGGGCTTGGATTAGGTCAACTTTAATTATATTTGGAAGATAAATGAGTCCAGAAGTGAATGGGCAGAGATTATTGGAGTTGGTCTTAAAAGGAGGCTTTAGGCAGATTGGCTGGGCTGGTGTGAAAGGTCTGTGTCAGAAAATCATGAGTCGATTATTTTCATAGGTTGATGGAGCTGGTATGATGAGTAGGTAAGAATTATCAAAATGTAGAATGTTGATGATTTTTATAGTTGGATATAAATGGTTCTTGAGTGTAGACGTTTGTTTTTATGCTAGCTGTAGTCCGTGGCATAACAGACTATAATGGGCATGCTAAATATCCGTGGCAGTTGACCCTGGAACACCACAGTGGGTAGGGGCATGTACGCCCCTGTTGAGTTGAAAATTCACATGTAACTTTGACTCTCCCGAAACTTAATTATTAATATTTAGCCTATAGTTGACTGGAAATCTTACTGATAACTTTCATTAATACAAGTAAGCTACTGAAAAAAAATTAAGCAAATCATAAAGATAAGAAAATATATTTACTATGCATTAAGTGGAAGTGGATTATCGTAAAGGTCTTCATCCCCTTTGCCTTCACTTTGAGTAGGCTGAGGAGTAGGAGAGGAAGGGTCAGACTTGTCTCATGGGAAGCAGAGATAGAAAAAGGTCCACATACAAGTGGTCCCACACAGCTCAAACTGGTTTTGTTCATTGATCAACTGTAGTTTGATTGAAAGTAAGGATAATAAAGTTTCTACCTCAGTTCTGTATTACCAAGTATAGATAGCAAGGGCTGGAAGAAATTTTTAGTGTTAATCTCTTTGAGCCTAATTATCATGTAGAAGAGGAAATTGAGGTCTAGGAAGGTTAAGTGACTTGTGGAAATTAAACAACTAGTTAGAGACGTAGCCAGCTCTTAAATCTGACTTCCAGATTTTCTCTGTATCTACTTTTTTCTACTGCATGTTGCCTTTTTTAGCCAGGAGAAATTAGAAGTTGAACTCTTGTCTTTTCAGGCAGGTGCAGATTTTGGGGTTTTGTTTTGATTTTTGTTTTTTGACCCAAAGTACTTTAGTTCTGTGATTTATAAAGCACAAGGTTTCTGTTTTTCTTATGTAACTGAATACTGTAAATATGGAAGTTACCTTTTATCTTTACCAGTATTACACATAAATGGTTATACATAAATACATCGACCACCTTTTATTACTCCAGCTATAGTGGAGAAAGCTTTCTTTTCATAAGTAGCTAATGTTTTAAAATGTATACTTTTAGTATGATTGCTGCATATTTCAGATATTTCCTTAACTTGAGTACTCAGATATTTATCCAAACATTATTGCTATGGGATTTCCTGCAGAAAGACTTGAAGGCGTATACAGGAACAATATTGATGATGTAGTAAGGTAAGAATGCTTTGATTTTCTCTTTCAAATATTGATGTTTATATTCATGTTAAATTTTTATTTAGAAAAGATTTCTAAACCACAGAAAGATACTTTGTGATGTAAGCTTTATTTTATTATTGTAGTGCTCTATAATCCTTTTTGGCTTACTGTACCTAATGGATTTCATTGGGATACAGTTCATTTGATAAGAACTGATCTTATACATAATCAGGTATTTATGTGATATCATTTCCTGGACTCCATAAAATGCCTCTCACCAGGTTTAATGCCTGGATTCCATTACAGTGTGATTTTTGTCCTGTTTCATAATTGGAGATTAGGCTTAAAATCCTAGAGTGGATTTATTCTGGTAAATTTATTCACACTAAGATGTAGATCACTAATACTGTATATTTTTATGTAGACCAAATTTTAATATACCACTGTGCATAAGTGTACTAAGCACCTGAAGAAGTACTTGGTTGGTACAAGAGATATAGAAAGGAATCGCTGGGTGTACCAAGGCTAATCAGTTTTATAATTTTGCATAAATTTCTAAGTGCAGTTATTTAGAACAATTTGTTTCTCAAGGCCCACTTAAATATTACTTTTAAAATACATAATTTTAGGAATTCATGGCATATTTTATGAAAGAAGAAATTCATGTCTGATGTGCAGATAGTCATAACATACTTTATAATTTCGGAGCAAAAATATATATGTGTGAATACATTAGCTGTACGTTGTCAGTAGGAACCTTAATGGCTTTAAAAGTTAAAATTTCAAGCCAGCCATTGTGGTGTGCTCCTGAAGTCCCAGCTACTTGGGAGGCTGAGGTAGGTGGATTACTTGGCTTGAATTGAGGAAGTAGAGGCCAACCTGGGTAACAAGCAAGAACTCATCTCTTAAAAAAAGGAAAGTTAAAATTCTGGTTTATTTCCTGTACACTCTTTCATTAGTATCTTTTCTGGAGACTTTCAATTTAAATGCTTGGTGGTTATGACAATTAAATGTTAAAATGGATGGGAAAGCACTTTGTAACTTATAAAGTATTATGCAGATGTAGACTCCTTTTATAATAGTTGTGTAAGTATATAAGACAACCTGCATTCTTTTATCAGCTAGCTGTAAGTTTTATTAGTGGTTAAGTTTTGGCAACTTGCTTTGAACCACAGTAGATTTACAATTTTTTTTGTAGTATAGAGTTGTGTTCATTTGGAATTTTGTAATATTCAAAATTAAAGTTTTGTACCTACGAAAACTACAAAAAAATTCCCGTAGTTTTTTATAGTTTCTATTAAAATTACAGCTGATACCTAGGGATGCCAGAAGTACTGTTTAAGAAATTGAAAATAGGGAAATGAATTTGTCATCATCTCATAGTTAGATAGGGCACAGTAGAAGGATGCTTAACATTGAAAGCTGATGGGAACAGCAGGTTGATATAACTTGTGATAACACTTCTAAAGAAAAAGCAATGAGCCATAGAAAAAAGAAAAAGATAGGCACATTTTGAATTAAGGAAGATGGAGAATCTGGGAAACGAGCAGTATAGTCACCAGACATGTATTCTCTGCTATGGTGTAGAAGTGTTTATCAGGCCTCTTTATGGCCTGGATGATACATCCCACAAGATGACCTACTTCACATTATTATAATTCTGTATTCAACTAAGCACTAATTCAGCCTAGCCAGATTAGTACTCATACCAAAAAAGAGTGAGTACTCTGAATAGAGGGAAGCTTTTTTGATTATGGTGGGAATATCTTTGTGGTAAATTAATCTGGTGTGCTATTTTTATGTTGATCTCTTCTGTGTGTCATTTGTCATTGAGGCTGATTGTGCATCTTTTAAGTTACTGATAAAGTTCCTGTACAGCTGATTATCAGACCTTAGATTGTAATAACTTCACCAAGAAAATGCTTTGCTGGGAAGTGTTTTGGTCCTTCAGTCTGATTGATGACTCTTATTTTATGCCTCTGAATTAAAAGATTCACACATTCAGTTTGTAATGAGTAATCAAGGTTGAGGTTTATGCTATCTAGCTTCACTATCTAGTTTGTTTTGTCTAGCTGTATGACTTCTTCAAATCTGCTATTTCTAAAAAACAAATGTTTTATGTGTCTGGATTAATATTTAGCCAGTGGTTCTTAGAGCCGACAGATCTTGTCACCTCTTATGATATTATTATTATTATTATTTTATTTTTTTGAGACGGAGTTTCGCTCTTGTTACCCAGGCTGGAGTGCAATGGCGCGATCTCGGCTCACCGCAACCTCCGCCTCCTGGGTTCAGGCAATTCTCCTGCCTCAGCCTCCTAAGTAGCTGGGATTACAGGCACGCGCCACCATGCCCAGCTAATTTTTTGTATTTTTAGTAGAGACGGGGTTTCACCATGTTGACCAGGTTGGTCTCGATCTCTCGACCTCGTGATCCACCCGCCTCGGCCTCCCAAAGTGCTGGGATTACAGGCTTGAGCCACCGCGCCCGGCTTCTTATGATATTATTAATAGCATGTCAACATGAAGAATTATCTGCTGAATATAATAACTCTGCTGTCCTTGTTTCCTTTTGTTTCATTCTTTTTTGATTGGGGGATAACTGGCCAATGAAGCTTTGATAGCTTCTATCGCCCAGGCCCCTCCTCTTCTTTTATAAGAAAAAGGATGAACAGTGACTAGAAATAAAGGTATTGGTTTTTCCTATCAACAAAAATAGAAATAAATAATTCCTAAGTAATGTGCCCGTTAGGAATAAAGTCTCCAAAAGAATGGCTGTACCTAGTACCTAAGTGATTAATTTTCCTTAATTGGTTCATATAATATTGGGAATATTTGTGATCAGTGGTGATTCTTTTTTTGATTCAAAGATGATAGTGTCACAGTGAAAAATGTGTTTAAATTTTTTCTATACTTTAATTTTTCTCTTAACAAAAGTATTTTCAGTTGGATTTTTCTTTGTTCTATTAGAATGCCCAAAGAATATTTAAAATGATTCTTTTCTCTCTCATTGCATCTTTTTTTCTGTGATTTTTCCTCAAACAGAAAATACTCTGCAAAGATTAGACTTTGTTGTTGTACTACATCACTGCTTTGAGTAAACGCAGATTGCAAATACCTTCATACCTACATTGCTCAGTACTTTTTTTTTTTTAAATGAAGTCTCTTGTTAACCCAGGGTAGAGTGCAGTGGTGCCATCTCAGCTCACTGCGACCTCTGCTTCCTGGGTTCAAGTGATTCTCCTGCCTCAGCCTCCTGAGCAGCAGGGATTACAGGTGGCCTGCCACCACACCCAGCTAATTTTTGTATTTTTAGTAGAGATGGAGTTTCACTATGTTGGCCAGGCTGGTCTTGAACTCCTGACCTTGGGTAATCCACCTGGTTTGGCCTCTCAAAGTACGGGAATTGGGGTGAGCCACTGCACCCAGCTAAATTGATCGGCTTAACTTTTAGGGATACAATTTGTTACGACAATGTGAAATTTTATACTTGAGGTACTCAGAGTCCTTTTGAAACAAATATTTAGCTTCACCTTTTGAGGCTACTTCCTATGATTGGGAATTAATGTAAAAAATAAGCCAAAAGAAAATGAGGGAAAAAATGAATCAAGCTGTAGTTTTTTTACTATCTTTTTGCTATTTTTTACTATCCTAATTGCAGTTGTTTTGCTTATATAGCATTCAGAATTGACAGGGTAAGAAAGCCACATCTCATAGAAGCTAACTTTTCCCAAGTTGTTTTTTTCTTCTTTTCGACTTACTACCTTTTCCCTCCTTTCTTGCTGCTAAGCTCTCACCCTGACATGCTGGTAATATGAAACAGTGTTTTACTCAGATAATTGATTATTCTAGGACATGTATATTAATTTTTTTTTTTTTTTTTGAGACCGGTTCTTGTTCTGTCACCCAGGCTGGAATGCAATGGCATGATCATGATGGCATGATCATAGTTCACTGCAACCTCTGCCTCCTGGGCTCAGGTGATCCTCCAACCTCAGCCTCCCGAGTAGCAGGGACCACAGGCATACACCACCAGGCCTGGCTAATTTTTGTGTTTTTTGTAGAGATAGGGTTTTGCCATGTTGCCTAGGCTGGTCTCGAACTCCCGCACTCAAGCCATCTGCCTGCCTCAGCCTCCAACAGTTCATGCTGTGATTACAGGCATGAGCCACTGCGCCCGCCAATGTCTATGTTAATCTCATCTCTCAAGCTAATATTAAAGTTATCTACTTTATGTTATCTGGTATAAATCTAAGCAATCTAACAAATTGATGCTTCATGTGTTTAAGAGGCATAGCTTAAGAATAGTTCTGTTTCTACGACTGGAAATGTAGTTGGCATTGGCAATTATTGGCAATCTCTACAGGGACTGAATAAAAAATAAATAAATAAATAAATAAAATGGAAAAGAAATACAAGAAAAAAAGAATTTTTTTGTTTCTAATAAATCAGGAGAATGGAGTTTTAATAGAAGTTTAATAGAAGTTTAATAGAAGTGAACTGTCTTTCTCACTGCAGAACCTTTATATGCCACTATGCATTGTAAATCTCCCAAGAGTGAGATTCTAGTATGATGTTTTTCTTTTCCTTTTCTATCCTTTCTCTTTCCCTCTACCTTCTTTTTTTTCCTTTTTTGGTGGCAAGAGTCCTATATTATAAGGAAATGCTTTTAGAGCATAGTTTTCTGATACACAGTGATTTTTGAAAAAGATTTATTTATTGTCTTGTTCACTGTGAGTGTTTTTCTCCCATGTATAAGCAGCGTGTAATAGTTCAGGAACACCCTGTCCTCCACACAAACTTTTTTTTTTTTTGAGACAGAGTCTTACTCTGTCACCCAAGCTGGAATGCAGTCATGCTTTGATCATGGTTCACTGCAACCTCAACTTCTGGGCTCCAGTGATCTTCCCGCCTCAGCCTCTCAAGTAGCTGGGACCACAAGTGTGTGTTACCACACCTGGCTAATTTTTGTATTTTTAGTAGAGACAGGGTTTCGTCATGTTTTCCAGGCTGGTCTCA